CTCGCTACAGTTCCGATTTCCGGGATGGCCGAAGTGGGGCTCCTGAAACCCATTAGTCGAACTTGACGTCACACTGTTGTTTCAACAACTTAACGGGCAGCCCTGAAATGATACCACAGAACCCGTAGGACACCCACCGAACTAACGAAGACGAATTCGCGAGTCTCCTGCTGGTCGTTGTGAAGGGATTGTGTTATGAATTATAACTCAGAGTATAGCGCAAAATACTATAGGGGAACGTGATCACAATGTGTCCTATCCAAATGAGACCTAGGGCTTATATAGTGCGAGTTGACCAGGTTGGATGTCGAGGGTTGGACCAGTCAAGGGCTCGATAGTCCGAGGGTGACGGGGTCAAAATGGGTTCGGGGCGACTCGGGATCAGGTTGGGGCCGAAACGGTCGACGGGGGCTGGTTTGGTGCGATAACCAAGGGCCGAGCCTGCGGACGCGCACTGTTCGCGTGTACTCGTTGTGGCGAGCCCCAGTAAGGAATCGTAATTCCTTACACTCTCCCACCTTCTAAAGGAAGGCACTCCCTTTATCGAGGTCGAACCTTTTATCTAAGTTAATCCCCGAAGTGATTGTAAGTCTTCAGCCCTGTGACAAGCGTAATGATTATGCCGGCCTGACGAGGTCTTGACGTTGAACTGAAATCGATGGTCAGAAAGCGTCGAAACGATCGCTTTTAATCTCAATCGTCGAAGATGGTCGAATTCTTCTGGTGACCAAACGGGCAAGGGTAAATACTCCAGTGGAAGACAATTAACAGTGAAACCGTCGAGTGGTGGATTGATGATGGCGCATGGCAGCAGGATTGATTGAAATGATGACGGGCTAATAACGTGATGGTCGATGAAATGAAGAACCCGTTCATCAAACGCGAAGTCGCTCGTGTCACATGCGAGAGCACGCGTCCGTGTCCCACGAAAGTAAGCGAACTCCATCAACGAATTGACGAAATCAGGTGCGGAAGCATAACGATGACGAATGTCGATCGAAAAAAGGTGAATGGAACAAGCCGAAAAGGTCGTCGGAAAATTGCAGCGCAGCTGCACTTCTCCCACCTTTCAAGAGAAAACAATTCCCAATTTCCCAGGTAGAAATCCAGGAAACCCCAATGCTCCAAGGTAGACAAAAAAAATCCCACACTGTTGCTGAAAATCCCATAACTCAGCTTCGAAGATGCCGCTGCAAAACTCCAACCGCTATAGTTCCCAAAGATGCTCCAAACTTGAAATGCCGCCTTAGGGTAAACTGCTCCAATGGTCGTGAAATTCCGCAACTACTGCTCCAGAAGACTCCCACACGAACTTTAAATTTCTTCAAAGGTCAAGAACACTACTTGCGGGCTGGCCCCAACATAGCTCCACAGTACTGCTGCAAAATCTCCTTGTTTTGATACGGCCGCTGTAGATTCTAATGGCGAGGCGGGGTCGTGTTCACACTATCTTGCGAATCAGGCGAATTGACGATGGAGGCGGTAGCGGGTGATGTCGAGAGGCTGACGACGATGGCGATGGAGATTAACCGATACGAATCCTGCTCCAGGGAAAACCCTCGAACAAAACCCAGGGTCGAATGACGCCAGCTACATCAGCTTCTTTGTCCGTACACGCCAAAAATTTCGAGAAGAGCCGAAACTACTGCTGCGCTTCTCCTCCTTCATGCACCCAAAATATTCCGAGAATATCGGTCGATGTTGCTCGTACCCTTGAGGATAGCGGGCACAACTCCAGCTGTAAACGCTCGAACTGCTGCACAAACTCACCGAAAATGTCGGAACCACTCGATACTTAGTAAATACCGTAACTCCGCTTCACTTATGACCGTAAAAATGCCCAGGCGTCACGGCGTCCTTTAGCAGCGCCCCTACGATTTCTCTACCAGGTGTACGCATGAACTGAACCCTTTATCTTAGGGTTTACCGGAGTCCACCGCCTCGGCATGATGTTTTAGCCGTCGATCAGGGTCAAGCCACATCATATGCCGTTGATCTCTGCCCAGTTGTTACCCAACTCTAAAATACTCCGTTACCCCTGTCCAGCTGGCTGTGCAGACGTTACCCATCTCGCGGCTGCTGTAGGTTACCCAAAACCGTTTCGCTGCTGCTTAACTAACTAGGAGAATCCGCAGAGATAGGAGTGCACAAGCTTCTAGTCAGAGGAGCTTTAACGAGCTCGCCTACTGATCGTTGGACATCTCCCTCCTCCGTCGGAAACTCGTCAAACTACACCCGCAAAAGTCGGAACCTCCATCTGCTGCACCAGGTGAAAACTCTTAGCTCTACTTCAACAGTAACTCCTAAATTTTTGGGGACACTCCATCAGCACAGTGTAGTTCGCATGTTCACCCCCCTTATTCAGCCAGAAGCTGTCGATTTGTAAATCGACGCTGCTACCTGGTGGGAATGGTGATTTCGGGGCGACGTAGCTTAGCGAGTAGCAGCCCGAACACCGCTAACCCATTTGCTCCAGTACTCCCGTCGTTCTTCTCCTACTGCTTCAACTCCTTACAGCTAACGCATTCGGCGACCGGTGGAAAAACACTTAATACACACCCAAGGGTGGTGGCCTCCGTTTCCGTTGATCGTGGGGGTATGAATCGCTGGTCCACGAAAAATGCCTCCCCACGCGGGAAGTCGCCCTCGCTGAGTACACTCACTCCAGCACAGCGTCAACTCCTCCAGATGGCCGTCGTGGTGAATGGCGCCGAGGTCGTTAATCTCAGCTGCTCCCATACAAATGCACACCCACACATCTTCGTGCGATCGTGTCATTCCGAAATTGTCGGATGCGCCCATTGCCGAAACAGTTTTGAAGTCCCGTCCATAGCCTGCCAGAAACGCCGGGACCAGCGACACAGCTACAGTTCACCCTGCCGTTGCATGGCGTGCCAGACGTACATCGCCGTACATCCCGCCATTTTCGCCACCCTGCGCGCTCCTGACGACCAACTCCCGGCCGCCTGATGACTGCTGTGCACTTGTGTTTTCCTAACGCAGGCTTCGCTTTTTTCGAAAGCCAATCCGAAGACTCCGTCTGAACACCCGAAAATTACGAAAGCTCTAACGAAGGGAAAGTATATCGGCGCTCAGTATTAGGGGCCTCGATAACATGTATGGTCAGTGACACAATATAAACAATCAGAATTAGCGAGTTCGCAACATGTCTCATCACTCAGGTTCCACCGTTAGTTGGAAACAGCAGGAAAAAAGTCCCACAAATGGTCAGTAGAAGTAACCCCCGCTCGTCTTTGAACGTTTTCCCGCTAGCGCCAACCCAATTTCGTCATCATTGCGGCTGGCGCGATATTTTTCCTAAACTGCAGATGTAAAGTATTCCCAAATTAAAAATCGTTGGACATCGCACAAACAAAATTACAAAATTGAGACCTTGCGCATTTATGTCACATAAGCTAATTGGGCCACAGCGGGCTGCACAAACGCACAAAAAACGAAAACATTTGACACGAAAGGGCAAATATGTGCGGGATCGACGCTAAGCCAATGAGGCGTGAATATTTTACCGTAGTGCGCGCACGCTAATTTGTTTTGAGCATGACAAGATCTGTAGAGTCGTCATCTGGCGGATTTTTTTTTTGTGGTGAATACATTTGTTGAAATAAAAATTTCAGAAGACAACCGACAAACTTCAAATGGATTTGTTGATTAAAATTAATACAAAATTAAAAGCGGTTTTGAGAGTACCTTGACGCACTTTAAAACATATTCGTTTCCTATGTAGCTATCTATACATGCTATTGTTTTCGGGCGACTGTGGAATGACTAGTTTCTGGATTGACTTTTTTTTGGAGCCGTAAATGCGGTAGAGACAAAGCCGTCATTTTTTATCATCGGGGGACGCGCTACCCTTTGTGACGAAAGTATGCGCTTCGAAAAAAAAATCGTGTTTCCGTGTTTCTCGACTAACAAATATCAAATGAATTTAAATTTGGGCATTTTAAGTGTTTTCACTCGAACTGTACATCGAGCTCGGGAAAAATATCGCGCCAACCACAATGATGACAAAATTGGGCTGGCGCGGGCGGGAAAACGTTCCGAGATGGGCGGAGGTTACTTCTACTGACTATTCGTGGAACTTTTTTCATACAGTTTCTGACTAATGGTGGAACCTGATTGATGAATCATATTGCGAACTCCCTAATTCTGACTGTTTCTACCGTGCCACTGATCGTACATGTTATCGAGGCCCCTTATACTGAGCGCTGACATACTCTCCCTCTAACCAACATATTCGAAAAACACTGCGAAAACGTCGTCCACTCTTTGACGGGAAATAATTTCGTCTACGATCAGGGAAGGGGAGGACCGGCCAATCCCAGCCGTCCATCCGACAGGATCTGACGGCATCGGCAACGCCTGCGCAATTAATTTCCGCGACGTCCGCTCGCCATCAGCATCCTTCCGCCCCCTTCCCCGATAGGGTCTGCTCCCCTACCAGAAGCCTAATGGGCAGGAACGTAGCTCTGATACCAGCTGTTATGAATTATAACTCAAAGTATAGCGCAAAATACTATAGGGGAACGTGATTACAATGTGTCCTATCCAAATGAGACCTAGGGCTTATATAGTGCGAGTTGACCATGTTGAATGTCTGAGGGTTGGACCAGTCAAGGGCTCGATAGTCCGAGGGTGACGGGGTCGTAATGGGTTCGGGGCGACTCGGGATCAGGTTGGGGCCAAAAAGGTCGACGGGGGCTGGTTTGGCGCGATAACCAAGGGCCGAGCCCGCGGACGCGCGTTGTTTGCGTGTACTCGCTGTGGTGAGCCCCAGTAAGGAATCTTAATTCCTTACAGATTGGACGATTTTGTTGTGACGTGGGTAACTTTCAGTGTGTGGTGGTTCCCATTTTTTTGCTTGCCTGGTCGGTGAACTTTCTGCCGTATTTCATTTTGGGCAGACTCGTGCGAGTTAGAATGTCCGAAGTTGGGATTTGCGCTCGGTTTTACGTCCACATTTGACGTCGAGCTTTGCGGGTGAGTTGACGTCAGCTAAGCTTGGTTGGTGTCGGCTCTGTGCTTCGGGACTCCCTCTGGGGGGATTTTGCCAACTGGGAACTGCAAAGCCAGAAACCTCGAACCCAGACCCCTGCAAGTTCACAGCAGCAACTTCGTAGGCCAGCCACAGCCCGCGAATTCGCCCGCTTTCCGTTTTCCCTCACAGCGGGCTCCCGCATCGCGCCGGGTTCCTCGCGACAGTGTCGGTGCCCCGCGGCGGAGCGATGAAGGCGCCGAAGCGGGGGGCGAAGGCGCCGCGCGCAGGTGGCGGACGAGGCGAGTCGGACGGGCCGCAGATGGCGCCCACCGTGATTTCCGACAGCCGCTTCGCCGCGCTCCACTCCGACCCGCGCTTCGCGGTGAGCGCTGCCCCGCCGCCCTCGCTGCTAGGCGCCGCGTTGACCGCTTGCCATCCGAGGTCCGCGGTCGAAAGGTGGCGCTTCTTCCCGCTTCTTCCGCCGGCCGCGTGCCGTGGCTCTGTCACATGCCAATTCGGCCCACCGCCCCTCATGGCTTCCCCGCCCCTCGTCGCCCGCGCCCCACTGCGCCTCTCCCTCTCTCGCTCATTCGCCCCCTCGCCGCCAACCCCCACTTAGCCCTCCCCCCTCGCCGCCACCTTGCTCAGCGGCGAGGCGTCTCCCCTCGGCGCGCAGCTCTCTTGCCCTTCCTGCCCGCCCGTCGTAAACCCCGGTGTCCCCAAGCCCGAAACCCTTGGACCCTGCTTGTAACCCGAATCGTCGTGCCTCGCAGCCCCGTATCTCCCCCAGCGAGCGCCGTGCAGTGAGGCGCGTGTGGCGGTGGACCCATGGTGCGCCACGGGAGGACCTTTTTCTACTCTGATCTTCCTTTCTGAACTCCGTTGACGCCGTGCGTCCACGCACCGCCCTTCAACCCCACCCCCCCCTGCGTGAACCCCTTCCCCCCCCCAGCGCGTGCCGCTGAAGGAGACGCGGGTGGCCGTGGACCCGCGGTTCGCGGGCATGTTCCACGAGCGGCACTTCGGCGAGCAGGGCGGCGTGGACAAGCGCGGCCGGCGGACGCACGCCGAGCGAGGGGCGGACCTCAAGCGGTACTACCGTGTGGAGGAGGAGGGGGAGGAGGAGGAGGGGGAGGAGGAGAAGGAGCAGGGAGAGGAGGGAGAGGAAGAAGAGGAGGGGGATTCGGAGGAAGAGGAGGAGGAGACGGATGAGGAGGAGGCGGGTGAGGAGGAGGCGGGTGAGGAGGAGGGGGAAGAGAAGGGAGAAAAAGTGCAGAAGAGGGCGAGGAAAAAAGTGGAGACGAGATTTGGAAAGAAGTTGGAAGAGGAGGAGGGAGAAGAGGAGGAGGGAGAAGAAGAGGAGGGAGAAGAAGAGGAGGGAGAAGAGGAGGAGGGAGAAGAGGAGGAGGAAGAAGTGGATGGGAGTGATGAAGAAGAGGAAAGGGAGGACTCACAAGACTCCTCCTCCTCCTCCTCCTCCTCCTCCTCCTCCTCCTCCTCCTCCTCAAGCTCTGACAGTGAGAGTGAAGATGACGTGGAGTCAGGCCAACAGGTAGCTAGCCTGCTCACTGCGCGCTCGCGTTGCTTCTCCTCCATGCCAGTCGTCGTGGCACTTTTTCCTCTGCCCATCTCCCACTCGCCCATCTCCCACTCGCCCATGGGTGCCCCTGGCCTCGTCACTGCCTGCATCGTGTGTCCTGGCCGCCTCCACGCGCTCTCCGTCTCCACCTCCTGCTCCCTCACCTCCCACCGCCCCTGCCTCATCTCCGCCTCTCCCGCAGGCCGCTCCATTCGTTGCAATTTCGACATCCTCCTCCGTGCCTCGCCCTCACTCCTGCTCTACGTTTGAGCGCCCTCCACATCCCCCCCCCCGTCCCCCGTGCACCCTAGCAGGAGGAGCGGGTGGAGGAGGTGGAGGAGGCGACGCGGCGCGTGGCGGTGGTGAACATGGACTGGGACAACCTCAGGGTGAGCAGGGGGCGGTGGGAGGAGAGAGGTGAGGGCGACGGCAGGGCAGAAGAGGTCAGGGCGAGGGCATGCAGGGCTGTTCCATTGTTGGCGTTCTTTCCCGTTATTTGTCTCCTCTTTGTTCCCTCTTCTTTCCTCTTCTTTCCTCTTCTTTCCTCTTCTTTCCTCTTCTTTCCTCTTCTTTCCTCTTCTTTCCTCTTCTTTCCTCTTCTTTCCTCTTCTTTCCTCTTCTTTCCTCCTCTTTCCTCCTCTTTCCTCTTCTTTCCTCCTCTTTCCTCTTCTTTCCTCTTCTTTCCTCTTCTTTCCTCTTCTTTCCTCTTCTTTCCTCTTCTTTCCTCTCCTTTCCTCTCCTTTCCTCTTCTTTCCTCTTCTTTCCTCTTCTTTCCTCTTCTTTCCTCTTCTTTCCTCTTCTTTCCTCTTCTTTCCTCTTCTTTCCTCTTCTTTCCTCTTCTTTCCTCTTCTTTCCTCTTCTTTCCTCTTCTTTCCTCTTCTTTCCTCTTCTTTCCTCCTCTTTCCTCCTCTTTCCTCCTCTTTCCTCCTCTTTCCTCTTCTTTCCTCTTCTTTCCTCTTCTTTCCTCTTCTTTCCTCTTCTTTCCTCTTCTTTCCTCTCCTTTCCTCTTCTTTCCTCTTCTTTCCTCTTCTTTCCTCTTCTTTCCTCTTCTTTCCTCTTCTTTCCTCTTCTTTCCTCTTCTTTCCTCTTCTTTCCTCTTCTTTCCTCTTCTTTCCTCTTCTTTCCTCTTCTTTCCTCTTCTTTCCTCTTCTTTCCTCTTCTTTCCTCGTCTTTCCTCGTCTTTCCTCTTCTTTCCTCTTCTTTCCTCTTCTTTCCTCTTCTTTCCTCTTCTTTCCTCTTCTTTCCTCTTCTTTTTTTCGACATCCCTTCACTTCACATCCCTTGGTGCCGCATCCCTTGGTGCACCTGCCATCACGCACTCTTGTCATCCTGTCGTCCTCCTTTCTCTCCCCCACACCCCTTCCCACCCGTTCCCCCCGCCCTCTCTTCTCCCCCCCTCCCCCGGCGGCCAGGCGGTGGACATCCTGGTGGTGCTGCGCTCCTTCGTGCCGCCTGGGGGGCGCATCACAGCGGTGACGGTGTACCCCTCCGACTTCGGGCAGCAGCAGATGCAGGCGGAGCTCGAGCGCGGGCCGCAGGGGCTCTTCCAAGGGGGGAAGGGGGGCCGGGGCAAGGCGGGCAGGGCTGGGAAAGTGTGGGGACGACAGCAGGATGAGGGGAAGGGGGAGGAGGGTGAGGAGGAGGGTGAGGAGGAGGGGGAGGAGGAGGGGGGAGAGAGCAGCGAGGAGGGCGAGGGCGTGGATGCGGAGAGGCTGAGGGAGTACGAGAAGGCCAAGCTCAGGTCACCTGCCCCCCTGCGTGCCCTCGCTCCCCACACGCACCTGCCTCCGAGCCTCTTCATCCCATTCCTGCCTGCGTCCTTCCGTTCATCCCCACGGCTATTCTTCGAGACTCGTTATAACACTCTCTGCCGAGCACAGGGCTTGCCAGCGCGAGTGGGGAGTTCAAGTGCTCACTCTCCCCTACCTTCCCTCCCCCCCCCCCCTCCCCCCCTTGCAGGTACTACTACGCGGTGGTGGAGTGCGACAGCGCGGGCACGGCGGCGCATCTGTATGCGGAGTGCGACGGCATGGAGTTTGAGAGCAGCGCTAACCAGCTCGACCTGCGTTTCATCCCCGACACCATGGACTTTGCCCTCAGGCACCCCAGGGACTCCTGCTCTGAGGTGTGCGGAAGGGGATCGGGCGTGATGGGTGTGATGGGGCGTGCTCGCTCTCTCTCGCTCTCACACCGACACACACTCCCCCTCCGGATTCTCTCCCCCCCCCCCCCCCTTCCCCCCCCCCTCCCCTTTCGCCAGACTCACAAAATTACTCACTCACATACATGCACAACACTCACACGCGCACACACCCACCATTACCCACCCACCTGCCCTCGGCATCAGGTGCCAGCGGACTACGAGGCGCCGGTGTTCTCAACGCGTGTGCTGCAGCACAGCACCGTGAAGCTCACCTGGGACGAGGACGAACCCACCCGCATCAGAGCGCTGCGCCGCAAGTTCGCCTCCGACCAGGTCAGCTATGCCACCAGGTCAGCCGTGCCACCAGGTCAGCCGTGCCACCAGGTCAGCCGTGCCACCACGTCAGCCGTGCCACCACGTCAGCCGTGCCACCACGTCAGCCGTGCCACCACGTCAGCCGTGCCACCACGTCAGCCATGCCACCAGGTCAGCCATGCCACCAGGTCAGCCATGCCACCAGGTCAGGCATCCGCCGTCCCTCATTTTTCTCCTCTAACCCCTACCCCCTCCCCTCTCCGCTCTCACTGCTCCCTCCCTCCCCCTCCCCCCTCATTTTCTTCCCTCAGTATCGCCACAAGCACCTGGCACTCCTCCTTTTGCCCCTCCTGTTATCCTCCTTCCTGCCCTCCTGCTCACTGCACTGCAACGGCACATGCTGTGCCACCCCCTCTCTCTCATCGCCTCCCTCTCACGTGTGCACCCTGCGCCCTGGGCCCTGCGCCCTGCGCCCTGCATTCTGCGGCCTGCGGCCTGCGCCCTGCACCCTACACCCTGTGCCCTGCGCCCTGCACCCTACACCCTGTGCCCTGCGCCCTGCATCCTGCGCCCCGCACCCTGCGCCCTGCGCCCTGCCCCCTGCACCCTGCAGGTGGCAGAGCTCGACTTCCGGGACTACCTCGCGTCGTCGTCAGGGGAGGAGGGCGAGGAGGAGGAGGAGGCGGAAGGGAAGGGGGATGAGCAGGAAGAGGAAGAGGAGGTTAGAAGGGAGAACTGTAGTAGGAAGGAGCAGAAGAAGAAAGGGCGAGCCGGAGGCACACGAGAGAAGCTGAGGAGCCTCTTGAAGGGGCTGGCTGGGGATGGCAGGGGGAAGGGCAAGGGCAAGAAGGCGAAGGCAGGGGGGTCAGGGGGTGAGGAGTCGGATGGGGGAGCGTCAGAGTCGTCGTCGGGCGACGCAGAGATGGAGGTGACGTTCGCCACGGGCCTCAGCGCTCTCAACGAGAAACTCGCTCGGCGCCGCAGCGAGCAGCAGCGCGCCGCCAGCGAGACGGTGTTTGAGGCGTACCAGCGACGGCGGAAGGAGAAGAAAAAGGAGAGAAGGCGGCAGGTGGAGGCGGGTAAGGCAGCAGGGAGAGAGGCAGGGGGAGGGGGAGAGGAGGATTCAGGGGGTTGTGGTGAAGAGGAGGGCGACGATGATCTGTATGACATGAGCCGGCTCCAGGAGGAGGGCGACCCCTTCTTTGCGCACGACGACACCGAGGACCCCTTTGCCGACCCCTTCTTCACCGGTGCTGGTGATAGTGGTCAGGGGAAGACTGCCAAGGGAAAGCCAGGAGAGGTGAAGGGCAGGAAGGCAGGGAAGAGCGAATACGAGAGGAAAGCGGAGGAGAGGGAGAGGAAGAGAGAGGAGAGGGAGCGGGAGAGGGCGGAGGAGGAGAGGAGGAGGGCGGAGTTGGAGTTGTTGCTCATGGACGGGGGGACGGGCGCAGGGGCGGGCACGGGGGTGAAGGGGTTCAACCTGAAGGCGGATGCGCGGCGGGCCAAGGAGAAAAGGCGCGCGGACAAGAGGGGCAAGAGGCAGGGGAGTGGGGAGGAGGAGCTTGATGGGCAGGGAGAAGGACTACGGTTGGTGGGTGGAGGGCGGGATGTGGGGAGGGGTGGAAGAGGGGGGAAGGGTGGGAAGGAGGAGGGGGTGCGTGGAGTGGACGTGGAGGACCCGCGCTTCGCCGCGCTCTTCACGTCCTCGCAGTTTGCCATTGACCCCACCGACCCTCGCTTCCAGAGGTGACCTCGCTCTCACATTGCCAATGGCCACTCCATCCCCTCCATGCCATTGCACTCCGCCTTGCCACTCGGTGCCATCACTGTTAAAGCCTGACCGGCAGGTTGCAAGTCAGTTCAGCTCAAGATGCATCATCTTGAGCACCTGTTACAGGGAAGCAATCGACGAACTGTCTGAGTTGGCCAAGCTGGCTCAAGCAGAACCCTCGGCAAACTTGGCAGTATGACATCCCTGCCAAGTCCCGAGGGCAGGAAACAGGGCTACGAGTAGGAAGTAATTCCCCGCGCGTTAGACAATTTCAAGGCGTAAATGTGCGAATACAATGAAATTTGCGAAATTTGAACCACTGAACGGAGTTCACTGTAGCAAACTTGGCGCCGGGGAAAGAAAGCGGGGTTGCCAAGCATCGGAAAAAATCTTTCAAGGCAGGAGCGAAACTTGGCGCTGCTGCCGAGTTGAACCCCTGCCAAATGAGAGGCATGAAACTCGGCACTCGTGCCGAGTTTTCAACCCTCGCGGCACTCACACGCAAACAGGTACCTTAGTGAACGCAAACCTTTGCCATAAAATTTCGCCCCACCTAGTGCTCGTCAGCCAATCATCTGCTGCCGGCCCACCTACCTCAACAGTGTCAATATGCAACCTGCCGGTCGGGCTTCAAGGCAGCCCACTCTTTTTCCACCTCTATTTCCTCTCCCCCTCCCCCCCCCCCTCTCTTTCCAAACCCCGTGCTCCCCTTGGTCTCCACCCCACCAGGACGTCGGCGCAGCAGCAGCTGATCGCAGAGAGGCAGCGCCGCAGAGCACCGGGAGGGGAAGCAGCAGTCACAGGCGATGGGAGGGGGCGTAGAGTAAACGTGCAGGGGGGAAGGGGGGAGAATGGGGATGGAGTGGAGGGGAGGGGTGGGGCGAGTGGGAAGGCAGAACTGAATGTGGTGGTGAAGAGCCTCAAGCGCAAGATGGGGCATGGTACGGGCAAAAAGTTGGATGGCATGAAGAAGCAAAGGCAATGATATTTTGGAAGGGTGGAGCAATGATGCCAACGGAATACATCAGATGGCTTCAAACAATGTGTAAAACCTAGGGACTCGATAAGCACGACTCAGGTAACCAACCGTACTGTATGTTCTTAGAGTACAACTCCAACCCTATATTTCCCTTGTTCACCCTTGTTTCTAATCATTCTAGTATTCTAGATCCCCCCCCCACCCGCTTCCGCCACGCGCCCTAGCCTACCACGCCTCGCCGGCCCTTATCGCGCCCACCTGGCCCCTCTAGCGCCGTAGCTGGCCCCTCGCGCCTAGCTGGCCCCTCGCGCCTAGCCGCCCCCTTCGCGCCTAGCCGCCCCCTTCGCGCCTAGCTGGCTCCTCGTGCCATCGCCAGCCCCTCGCGCCCTAGCCAGCCCTTCGCGCCGCCGCCGGCCCCTCGCGCCCAACCGGCCCCTCGCGCCTAGCCGCCACCCCTCGCGCCCTAGCCGGCCCCTCGTGCCGTCCCCGGCCCCTTGCGCCGTCCCCGGCCCCTCGCGCCCTAGTTGGTCACTCGCGCCCTAGTTGGTCACTCGCGCCCTAGTTGGTCACTCGCGCCCTAGCTGGCCCCTAGCGCCCTCGCCGGCCCCTCGAGCCGTCCCCGGCCCCTCGCGCCCTAGTCAGCCCCTCGCGCCCTAGTCGGCCCCTCGCGCCTTAGCCGGCCCCTCGCGCCCTAGCCGGCCCCTCACGCCGTCGCCGGCCCCTCGCGCCCTAGCTGGCCCCTCAAGCCGTCGCCGGCCCCTTGCGCCGTAGCCGGCCCCTTGCGCCCTAGCTGGCTCCTCGCGCCGTCGCCAGCCCCTCGTGCCTAGCCGGCCCCTCGCGCCCTAGCCGGCCCTTTGCGCCCTAGCCGGCCCCTCGCTCCCAGCCGGCTCCTCACGCCCAGCCGACCCCACGCACCCAGCCGGCCCCTCGTGCACTAGCCGGCCCCTAACGCCCTCGCCGGCTCCTCGCGCCCTAGCCGGCCCCTCGCGCCCAGCCGCCCCCCTCGAGCGTAGCCGGCACCTTCTCGCGCCGCCGCCAGTCCCTCTACTGCTTAGCCGGCCCCTACCGCCTGTTCGGCCCCCCCTTGCGTGCCCTCCGGCTCCTCGCGCGCCCGGTCCCTGTTCCGGAGAGTCTTGCCGCCACGTTGCTGTCTCGCTGTGCAGCTGAGTACCTGTGTCCCTGTGCCGCTGCGCCGCTGTGTCCCTGTGCCGCTGTGTCCCGGTGCCGCTAAGGTTTCGCGATAGCGGACGCCATGCTACGCCTGGACGCGGAGGGGTACGCGATCGACTTTGCGGCCTAGCTTGTCGATCTTCGCCGACACCTGACAGGTCAGCGCCAGGATGGGCACTCCCTGGCTATGCATGTTGATGGCTTGCTTCTCCGCCCCTCCGTGCCTGATCCCCTCCCTGCTGAGAGTGAGGCCATTGCTGCTGCTGCGCTCGCTCGCGCTGTCTGGGATTCTCGCGATGCTGTAGTGCAGCTTGCCATTAGTCATGCGCTTCCCCTATCCGAGCGTCCCCGCTTCACTGCTGTAGCAAACGCCAAAGACTTCCTAGATGCAGTAGTTGCACGCTACTCTACGCCTGCCTCCGCCTGAGCTGGACACTTGATCCTCCCCATGCTCTTCCCTGATCTCTCTGCTTTCACCACTATCGCTGATCTCGCCACTCACCTCCGTGCACTAGAGACTAGCTATCGCGCTGCTAGCACTACTGCCCACCTCACTCCTTCTCCCCACCGTTCTGCGCTACCATGTACCTTATTGCCATGCGCCTACCTGACCGCTTAGCCACTGTCCGCGACCACTTCCTTAGCCAGCACCCTGGTGTCCTCACCTTGGCCTCTTTTGTCGCTGCCCTTTCTGAGATAGAGACTCGCCAGTGCACTATCGCTCAGTCGAGCGGTGTTGCGGCAGTCCCTAACTTTCAGGGCTATGCTCCCTCCCAGTGCATGTACGTTGACGTTTCCACTGCGGTCGCTACCGCTGCTCCTGCCGCTGAGACAACAGTGGCGGCCTTCCTGCAGTAGCAGCGACAGCGTCGGGGTCGTCGCGGCCCCAAGGGAGGGCATGGTAGTGGTGGCGGCGACAGGGATTCTGACGAGGGGGCTGGGGAAGGCGTCCAGGAGCAGTAGTAGTAGCAGCAGTCGCAGCTGCAGCAGCTGCGGAAGCAATCACAGAAGCTGCCGCAGCAGCAGCATTAGCTGTGGGCCCGCCTCCCACCGGGGTGGCCGGGAGCACCTGCACGGGGTGGCCGAGGTGGCGGTCCTCGCAGCTCGGCGGCTACCGGCGGCTTCGGTGCTGTGGGGTGCCAGTACCAGCTCCAGACCGGACCCCTTCGTGGCTCTGTGTGCCGCCGTCCGCACCCGACCGACCGCTGCTTCCGCCGCCTCGACGACCTCTTTCGTCGCCACTTCGGCCCGGCCTTGGACCTCATTGACTGGCCCAGTCTGCTGTTCCACGATGTGCCTGTTTTTGACTTGGACATGGATCAGATTAGTTTTGCATTGCATTCTCTGTATGCTGACGCTTTTAGTGTGTCAGGATCTTATTGCCCTGTGTTTTCTAGCTTAGGTGTAGCACCTGTGTGTAGCTTAGACATCGGACAGTTTGCTTTGTCTAGTCTAGGCTCCTCACCCCTCCTCGCTTTGTCCTCCCACCGCACCCCTCTAGACCCTGCACCTGGACGTCTGGGGCCCAGCCCCCGTCCCTGGACCGCGTCGCGAGCGCTACTTTCTAGTGCCCGTTGACAACTACACACGCTACACCACGGTGTTTCCCTTGGAGCGGAAGGCCGACGTTCTTTTCCCGTGGGTCGTAGCTGCGCGCCTCCACCGCGGTCTCCCTGTGCTATGTCTCCCAGCTTAACCTTTGGCCGCGCTCCCAGCGGCTGCAGGTTTTGCCGACCCTTCTTTGGACCGGGTTCCCTGGTGACGCATCCGCGTTCCACGTCTCGGGCTGCCTCGCTCACGTTCGTGCCTCTACCCGGACAAGCTCACTGCCCGTACTGTCCCCTATGTCTTCCTTGGTTTCCCCCTGGACTCCTCTGACTGGCACTTTTACCACCCGCCGTCTCACCGCTTCTTTCACTCTCGTGACGCCACGTTCAACGAGTCTGTGTCCTTTTACCACCACTTTTCCCACCGAGGTTTCCCAGTTTCCCCTCCCCTATTTCTGGTTCCCACTCCCCCGATAGCCCCTGCTCACCTTCCTCCCCATCCTGCTCCGTGTGGTGTGTCTCACGTCACTCCCCTCCCGTCGGTTGTCCCGGTTGAGGAGTCGGCTGAATCTTGTGGCCCTACGGCGTAGTTCTTGTGTCCTTTTACCACCGCTTTCCCCACCGAGGTCTCCCGGTTTCCCCTCCCTTGTTTTTGGTCCCCACTCCCCCGGTAGCCCCTGCTCACCTTCCTCCCTGTCCTACTCCGTGTGGTGTGTCTTACGTCACTCCCCTACTGTCGGTTGTCCCAGTCGAGGATTCGGCTGACTTTGGTAGCCCTGCGGCGCAGTTCTTGCCGCCTGTCTCTCCCCCGGTGTCTCCTCCTCCGCCGTCGTTGTCGCTGCCGCCGCAGCCGCAACTGCCGCCGCCGCCGCAACAGTCGCCGCTGCTGTCGTAGCCGCAGCAGCCGTTCGTGGACTCTAGGGGTGGTGGCGTTGAGGAGGGTGCTTGTCCTAGGGTTCCTGTCGTGGCTTGTCCCGGCAGGCTCGGGGGTGGCACCGGTGGTGGAGAGGGTTCTCCCTCTGGGGGTGCTCGTTCTGGGGGTGCTGGAGTGGAGTGTTCCGAAGGTAGCCGCGGTGCAGCTGGCGGTCAAGGTGTCGGTGTCGAGCAGTAGCAGCAGCAGTCGCCGCCGGTGTCCGCCCTTCACCTGCTCGGCCTTCCCTCCCCTATTCGCTCGCCTGCGCCTCCCCCGCCGCCTCCTCTCCATCCTGTCCACGGTCATGTGTTTCCTCCTCCAGACTCGTCCCCGGCTCGCTTCCCACCTCGTTCCCCTCCTGTAACTCCTCCTCTGTCTTCAGACCCGACGCCTCCGTCTCACGTCTGGTCTCGCCGTCCGTCTTGTGCTCGTCCAGTCTTCCCTGTTCAGCGTTCTCACCCTATGTTCTTCGTTCCCACACGTTCTATCCTCCCCTCCTGCCTTCGCCTCCTCCGTCGTCGCTCACTGTTGCGCCTCCCCCTCTGTCTGACTACATTCCTGCTGCTTGTCCTCTTGTTCCTCGGGTCCTTTCCTCCCTCGTTACCGACCCGTCTGTTCCTCTCTTGAGTCTTGACGCTCTTGTCACTGTTGTCGCTGACTTCGCCTCTACCCGCCGCCTTGACAACGCCACGACTCTGGTATCTGACCCTATTCGTCCTCCGTCCGTCCGGGGTGCTCCTGCCCTTGGCAGTATCGTCCTAGAGGATAGGTTGTACGAGCTTGCTTTCTTGTCCGAGGCTACTCCCGATCTCTGCTCCATGCTGCTAGTCCATGAGGGTGACCCAGATGCCTTTGACATCCTGCCTTTTCAGGATCACCCAGATTTTGTAAGGGCATTTTTTAGTGACCCTTAGTCAAAAAGTGTAAGAGTACTTCTAGTTGTACCCTGACCAGATAGGGTATCGCCGAAATCACACTGAAACAGAAGAACGGCCCGCATATTCGACAAGGTTTTGTGTCCAGCTGGCGTCGCACGACATGTGTGATTTTTGTGAAGGGCCAATCAGGCGCCCCTCACACCTGCTCCAGCTCGTATCACACTGCATCTTTGATTTTGTCGAAGGGCCAGTCAGTCCCCTCACACCTGCTCCAGATCGTGTCGGACTGCATGCTTGATTTTGCCGAAGGGCCATTAAGTCCCCTCACTCCTGCTCCAGCTCCAGGCCTCAGGATATTAGGGTAAAATATCCTTACGACCCCTACAATAAGGCTGGGGTAGGTGTTGGACCCTTATATTAAAAAGCGGTTTAGTTTTTGACCCTTATGAGAAAAACTAGATCTATACGGGACCCTGCTTTTTTTTAGTGGTCGAGTGTAGGGACCCTGATACGGAAACGTGTCGTGTAAATCCACCCTTACACAATCACACATGCGATCTCACACTATATTAATTTCTCCCCTTAGCAACCTACCTTATTAGCCCAGATAGAAGACTCATGGGTCTTATCACATACCGTTTGGAAATGTCAAAAGGGTCTTATAAACGGAACTATCAT